TTGACAACCATCATCAACACACTAAGCATGACTTGTGCAACTAAGTTCCCGACACCCATCAGCAGTGCCACGCGGATCACTCTCGTTTCTTGATCTTTCGGTGTTGCAGCTAACACCACATGATAAAACCATATCAAAATGGCTAAGTCTATAAGGAGAAGCACCCCCATGGCGATAATAAAGATAATCATCCAGAAATAGTTGACTATCATCATTAACACACCAAACGCCACTTCTGCAGCCAATTTCATGACACCCACCGGTAGCACCACTCGGACCACTCTTGTTTCTTAATCTTTAGGTGTTGCAACAAATGTCACGCGACAAAACCAGATCAACATGGCTAAGTCTACAAGGAGTAGCACCCCCATGACGATGAAAAAGATAATCATCCGAGAATTGTTGACTACTGTCATCAATACACCAAGCACCACTTCTGCAGCCAAGTTCTTGATACCCATCGACATTACCATTCAGATCACTCTCGTTTCTTGATCTTCTAGTGTTGCAGCAAACATCATTCGACAAAACCATATCAACAGGGCTAAGTCTATAAGGAGAAGCACCCCCATGGTGATGGCAAAAATAATCATCTAAAAATTATTAATTACCATCATCAACGCACCAAACGCCATTTCTGTCACCAAGTTCAAGTCATCCACCAGTAGGACCACTCGGATCACTCTCGTTTCTTGATATTTTGGTGTTGCATCAAACATCATGCTATAAAACTAGATCAACATGGCTAAGTCTACAAGGAGAAAAAACACCCCCATGGCGATGGCAAAGATAATAATCCAAAAATTGTTGACTACCATCATCAACACACCAAGTGCTACTTTTGCAGCCAAGTTCACGACACCCACTAGCAGTGACACTCGGATCACGCTCGTTTCTTGATCTTCCGGTGTTGCAGTAAACATCACGTGACAAAATAGATCAATATGGCTAAGTCTACAAGGAGAAGAACTCGAATGGCGATGGCCAAGATAATCATCCAGAAATTGTTGACTACCATCATCAACACACAAAGCGCCACTTTTGCAGCCAAGTTCACGACACCCACCGGCAGCACCACTCGGATTACACTCGTTTCTTGATCTTTCGGTGTTGTGACAAACATCACACGACAAAACCATATCAACATGGCTAAGTCTACAAGTGATCCAATTTTTTTTGAAAATTTGCATAGAGGTCCTATTTTTTTTTTTTCCCAATTTTGCCTTGACCCATTTTCATTTTGTTTTTATTTTTATTTTATTGAGTTATAGGGTTGTGACATTGTTTGGGGGTGATTGGGAATTGGTATGATGTCCAAAACATCGGATTGCCTTGAAGTAGGGCTCTCTGGTGCGCCTAAAATATTGGACAACCCCACATTAAGGCAGTGGCTCCTGTTTCTTGATCTTCCGGTGTTGAAGCAAACATCATGCGACAAAACCAGATCAACATGGCTAAGTCTACAAGGAGAAGCACCCTCATGGCGATGACAAATATAATCATCCATAAATTGTTGACTACCATCATTAACACACCAAGCGTCACTTCTGCAGCCAAGTTCATGATAGCCATTGCCAACACCACTCAGATCATTCTCGTTTCTTGATCTTCCGGTGTAGCAGCAAACATCATGCGACAAAACCATATCAACATGGCTAAGTCTATAAGGAAAAGCATCCTCATGGCAATGGCCAAGATAATCATCTATAAATTGTTGACTACCATCATCAACACATCAAGTGCCACTTCTGCAGCCAAGTTCATGACACCCATCAGCAGCACCACTCGGATCACTCTTGTTTCTTGATCTTTTGGTGTTGCAACAAATATCACGCGACAAAACCAGATCAACATGGCTAAGTCTACAAGGAGAAGCACCCCTATGATGATAACAAAGATAATCATCTAGAAATTGTTGACTACCATCATCAACACACCAAGCGCCACTTCTGTAACAAAGTTCACGACACTCAATGGTAGCACCACTTTGAACACTCTCATTTCTTGATCTTCCTATGTTGCAGCGAGCATCACGTGACAAAACCAAATCAACATGGCTCTACAAGGAGAAACATGCCCATGGCGATGACAATGATAATCACCTAGAAATTGGTGACTACCATCATCAACAGACCATGCCACTTATGCAGCGAAATTCACAACACCCACCGGTAGTACCTCTCAGATCACTCTCATTTCTTGATCGTCCGGTGTTGCAGCAAACATCACGCGACAAAACCAGATCAACATGACTAAGTCTATAAGGAGAAGCATCCACATGACGATGGCAAAGATAATCATCCATAAATTGTTGACTACCATCATCAGCACACCAAGTGCCACTTCTGCAGCCATGTTCATGACACCCACTGGGAGCACCACTTCGAACACTTTCATTTCTTGATCTTCCTATGTTGTAGCGACCATCACGTGACAAAACCAGATCAACATGGCTAAGTCTATAAGGTGAAACACCCCCATGGCGATGGCAATGATAATCATCAAGAAATTGGTGACTACTGTCATCAACAGACCAAGCGCCACTTCTGCAGCCAAGTTCACGACACCCACTAGCAGCACCACTCGGACCACTCTTGATTCTTGATCATCCGGTGTTATAGCAAATATCACAAGACAAAACCAGATCAACATGGCTAAGTCTACAAGGAGAAGCACCCCCATGGCGATGGCAGATATAATCATCCAAAAATTGTTGACTACCATCATCAACACACCAAGCGCCACTTTTGCAGCCAAGTTCACAACAGCCTCCAACAACACCACATCGATCGCTTTCATTTCTTGTTCTTTCGGCATCCTTAATCTTCAGAGAGAGAGTATGTCTTGGGCTTAAAAGAAATGCTGGAGAGAGAGAGAGAGAGAGAGAGAGAGAGAGAGAGAGAGAGAGAGAGTAGTAGTAGTAGTAGTAGTAGTAAGAAGAAGAGAGAGAGAAGAAGAGAGAGAGAGAGTAGTAGTAGAGAGAGAGAGAGAGAGAGAGAGAGAGAGAGAGAGAGAGAGAGTAGTGTCGTACGAGTAGTACGTAGACG